AACATGACAGATACATCATAATCAATTAGGAAAGACTGACCAATAGCCTCCTCGTCTGTCTGTATCACCCCTCCCCCTCAGCTAACTACAGTGCCTGGGCAGACAAAAAATAAGTTCAAGAAGAACAAGGGAAGAAAGAAGACAAAAAAGAGAGGAAAGATGAACAGGACACAGAGAAGATGGGGAAGAAACCAAAGTCATTGAAACTGTAAAGGAAAACAATAAACCTTCCTTTCTTTGGGGATGTTACACTCACTATTCCAAACAGAAAAGCCCCAATGAACCCACAAAAGAAAGCAATAGATCAAGCTAATAAGCTCGGCCAACTTGAAGGAAACAAGATCACCATACAAAAATGCTTGTTTCTATACACTAGTGATGGACAATCTTTAAAACCCCCCAATTCCATTTACAAGAGCATCAGAAAGTAAAACAGTAAAAATAAATTAAGGAAGTATAGGACTTGTACACAAAAAAATCTAAAATATGTTTTTTTAAAAAAGGAAAGGCTCAAAGCTACACAGAGAAATCCTGTCTTGAAAAACCAAAAATAAATAAATAAATAAATAAATAAATAAATAAATAAATAAATGAAAGAAGGGAAGAGAAGAAAAAAGCTAGGGCCTAAAGAAACAAAAGAGTGCCCTGTATTCGAAGACTGAAAGACCCACTGTATGACAGAAACGCCTCCCAAGTTGATCTTCAGCTCAAAACTCAACTGCCTTGAACAGGCTGGTCCTAAAATTCATATGGAATCCTAAGAAATACTGCATAGACAAACCATTTTTGGAAGGAATCAAGTTGGAAGTCCCACACTTCATACTATCAACATGTCTGCAGCATGTCAATCATTGTAACAGAACAAAACTGGGAAAAGCACAGGCAGAGTAGGGAAACGCTCCATGCACCATGGTTGATGGACATCATGCTCGCTCACTCACCAGGAAAAAGATACAAGTTTCAACAAATGTGCTCAACTAATGATCCCAGTGCAAAGGAGTGAAACTGGGTGTGAATCTCGTGCCATACACAAAACTATCAGTGACGTGACGTGGAGGCAAAAGCAAACACTTGGGATCAACAGAAGTCTCGAATCATCATTAACAACAACGCACTCTGGGACAAAGAGTGGAAGGAGGCACTGGCAAATCACATCCTGAACATACAGAGCAACCCTACCACAACATACAACCCAGCCAAATAACGGGCAACGAGTCCTACAGACATTTCTACAAAGAAACCCTACAGACAGCCAGTGTACTAAAAGAGCCACACATTATTACTCACAGAAAAATGAAAATTACAAGCTCAATGGGTTCCTGCTCCACATGCCACACACTATACATTCTATATCAAAAACAAAATAGAAAACAGTGTGTGCAGGTATTGACTTGCTCCTCAGAAGGTAGAAAACTGGAACCTTGACGCACTGGTGTGGAATGGGGCGGCCCATATTGGAAAACAGATGGGTAGCTTGCTTCTCAAAAGGCCAAATGTCCAATTTCCACATGACTCTCCAGTTTCACTCCTAGAAAACATAAGTATGCCCATACCCTGTCGTCGTTTCGTCGTTTCCCACCCCCCCCACCCCCCCCACCCCCGGCCACCCGCTCAAAAATGTACAGGACCAGTGAGATGGCTTAGCAGGTGAGGGTGCTTGCTGTCAAGGTTGATGATCTGAGTTTGAAGCCAGGGACCCCCATGGCGGAAGGAGAGAACTTACTCCCACAAGTTGTCCTCTGGCCTCCACACATGTGCATACACACTAAGTAAGTAAATGTGAAATAAGACCTATATACAAATGTTCACGATGTCAGCATAAACCCCAAAGTCCATTTAACTGATGAACAAATACATACAATGTGGTGATTCTCCACAATGGAGTCTCATTTGCCCATATAAGGTGAGGAAGGATGCATGGCACCTGTTACAACGGGTGGGGACCTTGAAAACAGTATGCTAAGTCAAACATACGATTCCATTCATATGAAATGTCCAGACTCCACTAATTCAGACAGAAAAAGGAACAGCAGTTGCCAGGGGCAGCAGGAAGTAGGCAATGGATAGCGACTGCTTAGTTAGTGCAGGATTGATGAAACGATCCGGAATTAGTGAAGACATTATGAGTGTGGTAAAGGGCACTCAAAAATATGCTTAAGCTTATGTTGTGCTACTGTAATATTTTAAATAAACAGAACCATGAGACTGATAGAGAATTATTTCTAACTATAGATGAGATACAGCAGTCAACTGACTTGCCGCAAATCAGGTTAAGACTAACGCTGATCCTGGGTCCCAAACCCTTCTTCCCTCTAGCCCCTAAATTGTGAAAATTGTCCATATCAAGATGGAGTCATGCTATGTGGGATGGTGCATGATGTTAATCACAGACTAAGTAGGCTGAGGCAAGAAGACTTTAAACTTGAGGACAGCTTTGGCTACATAGTGAGTTCAAGGCCAGGCAGGTTTAAAGGTCAACAAGACCCTGAATAATAATAATAATAATAATAATAATAATAATAATAATAATAAAATAATAATAATAATAATAATAATAATAATAATAATACGGCAGGAGAGGGAAGGGGGAGTCATAAACAAACCAGCCAAACTGGTAAGAATCAGGAGGTTAAAAGGGGAAAGCATACTACACACATTGCACACGTGCCTATCATAAAACTTTTCCCAAGAATGTCTAAAGGCCCCTTTCTTCTGTTTGCTTTTGGAGACAGGATCTTGCTATGTAGCCCTGTTTGCCCTCAAACTTGCTATTCTCCTGCCTCAGCCTCCAGAATACGTGGATTACTTACGCACAGTTGCTCCTGTCGCCACTTGCTAGGGAAGTCACCGGGACATCTCGCCCCTCAGTCTCCTTAGTGAAGGGCAGTCAATACCTGCAACACACCTGTGTCAGCCCCAGGCTCTGTTTCAAAACCCAGCACAACGGACTTCTTTAGAAGTGCCCCAACTCAATCTCCTTGGAGATGGACGTGCCTTGTGTGCACAGGATACACAGCCCGGACTCTAACTCTTTAGACAGTCATTCCTCTCCCTCTCAGACCCCACAACAGCCGCCTCCACGGCCACGAGGGGACGCGCGTCGCCCGGGCACCGCTCCTCCTCTCAACGCTCTAGCCAACCGCCTGGCGGCGCGGACCTGGTCGGGACGGACGGGGGCGCGCAGTGGGAACGGGGACGCGCGCCGGAAGGAGCCGCCCGGGTGTCGCCCGGGCATGCGCCCTGGAGCCTCCCCCCACCCCCTCCGCGGGGTTCCGCAGGCGCGCTCGCTGGTCCACATCCAGAGACTCATAGTAAATAAAGCCAGCAAGACGGTTGAGGCGACGGCAGAACTCAGAAGCCCACATAAATACAATATTTTCAGTCTTTTTAAGAAGCTGTCCTAGAGTCCAAAGCAAAAGAGAAACTCCATTATTCTGATTTCCAATGATTTTTTTGATATTTTTCTAGTGTTGTTCTCCTTTGGTTAATTTTTTTAAATTTCATTATTTTAATATTTCTCATGAGTGTTGACCGTTATTTCCTGAGTGTGTCCAATAAATTTTGTTGAGTCAGTATTGCTGCAGCCTGGGGACCACTCTGCCCTGCTGTCACTTTTAGCGCATTGGCAGCAGTCTAGGGACGGGCCAGCGACCCACTCCTTCCTAGATCTGTAGGTGGTCAGCAGAGAATTTCCCCGGGCCTTAGGAGAGGGCAGGGGAGAGACACAGCAGCTTCCCCTGCATTACTAGTGAGTTAATTAATAGTCTCTCTCTCAAGTCATTACTACACTCAATAATAGTTGTATTATATTAATAGTAATAATAATAATTAAAGCTGGCTCTGGTGGTGCACGCCTGCTGTCCTAGCACCTGAGAAGTGGAGGCAGGAGCATGGGGAGTTCAAGGCCAGCGTTGGCTACGTAGGGATTTTGAAGCCAGTCTACTGTGAAGAGCTCTTACTGCTCTTCCAGAGGTCCCGGTTCTGTCCATAGCACCCATGTATGGTGGCGGCTTACAGCAGCCTGTAACCTCCACTTCCAGGAGATCAGATGCCCTCTTTTGTTCTCCTTGGATAACCTGCACACATGACACACACACACACACACACACACACACACCAAATGAAGCCTACCTGCTGCTGACTCTTTGGACGACCTTGGACAGATCCCAGAGCCTAAAATAATAAGGCTACCAATAGCACCTCCAGGCCTCAGCTGCTTTTGATGTAGTCAAATGAGACAGCTGTTGTTGCTGCTATTATTCTTTCGAACCCTAGCTTCTTTGCTCCTTCCTGACACCTTACCACCTGGGTTAGAATAGTCCCTTTTCTTTGACTTCCCGAAAGCACTTCCTCCACCACTGTTTGAGGGTTAGGCATCTGTACTCCATCAACGGTGGAGGGTTAGCTGTCACGGTCGTGGCTGATTCCCTTCCATTTTATGCATGTTGTCTGTTCTTCAAATACAACATGAACTTAAAAAAAAAAAAAAAAAAAAACCATTTGGCTCTTTATGTGACTGAGTTACTCTTGCCTGAGACTTTAAGGTGAAGGTTGTTTTGTTTAACCTGAGTCAACTATGTGTTTAAAACATCAGCTAATGTCTAGGTGTGGTTGTGGGAGAGAGATTGGGAATAGAAGAAACTCCAGAAGGCGTTAAAAGTATGACATAACCCTCCAAGCCTTTTTTCACCGGAGCAAGCACCAAGAGCGCCCTGTCATCTCTCCAGTCTTTCTCACAATACCAACCCCAGTGGAGCTGGTGTGGAGGGACGAAGGTGGAACCCCAAAGTCCTCTCCACACACACAGCGTGCCCAGGGGTGTGGCGATGGCTAATTACAGGAACGGAACAGTAGATTCAAGAATTATCACTGCAGCCTGCTGCCTTGATTCCAATCTGGGGAGAAGTGTCCGGGAAACCTAGGAGTTGGGGGTGGGTGGCGGGGGCGGGGCCGGGCCCGAGGGGCGGGGCCACGATGCTCCGCCCCGGGAAGCCTGCCCAGCGCTGCTGCGCTGCCCGTGCGCTCATTTAGGGGCTCGCCTCCGGGAAGGTGGAGTGAGTCTCGGACCCGGGTTCGAAGGCAGGTGGCGAGATGAGGCGGGCGCCAGCGTTCCTGAGCGCAGCCGAAGTGCAGGACCACCTCCGCAGCTCCAGCCTCCTCATCCCGCCTTTGGAGACCGCTCTGGCCAACTTCTCCAGAGGTCCCGATGGAGGAGTCATGCAGCCGGTGCGCACCGTGGTACCGGTGGCCAAGCACCGAGGGTGAGTGAAGAAGGGACCAAAAGGGAATGGGAGAAAGGGTTTCGAAAGAAAGACGTGGAGGAACACCAAGGGAAGAGGTAGGAGAAGGGAGGAGAGGTCTTGCTTGATCTCTGCTAATGACAGCTGCTGCTTATGGAGCACTACCCTCCGGCCCTGTGCCAAGAAGTCGCTTTACAGGTGCCACCTGCTGTCATTCAACTGGCCCGCCGTCCTTACTTAGCAGGGGAGGAGGTCCTGGGGTAGTCACTCTGCTAGCTGAAAACTGGGACTCAGAGAGGTAACGTGATTTACTGAAGCTTACACAGCTCAGAAGTGGCAGAGCTGTGATGGCTTTCTGGTCCGGAGCCAGGCTGGAAGTCCTGCCCCAGAGAAGGGCAGAAGGGCAGAGGAATGAGGGCACAGGGAGCGCCGTGCCAGCAGTGATGGAGGAAGGCAGATGAATGAGACTTTATAGATCACTTAGCATTGACTGGAAGGAGCTGAAACTTCTCTCTCTCTCTCTCTCTCTCTCTCTCTCTCTCTCTCTCTCTCTCTCTCTCCTTCAGCTTCCTGGGAGTCATGCCAGCCTACAGTGCTGCTGAGGATGCACTCACCACCAAGTTAGTCACCTTCTACGAGGGCCACAGCAACACATCCACCGTCCCCTCCCACCAGGCTTCAGTGCTTCTCTTTGATCCCAGCAATGGCTCCCTGCTGGCGGTGAGCAACCTTTTCTCCCTTGGGGCAGAGTGGGTAGAGCAAGTACCCCCTGGAGTAGAGAGGGTCCCTTAGGTCGAGAATTAAGCCTAAAAGCTAGTTATCCGTGAGGAGTAACATATGATTACAAGTGATCAGATGTGAAAATGCAAAGGTGACCTACAGCAGCGTCTGTTTCTAGGACTGCTTTGAGCCCACAGAGGCTGCAAGCGTGTGGCTGTGGAGATAACAATCCTGTTATTCGTGTTTGTGTTCTTGTTGCACACTCAGACACTCCAAACTCACAGCTTGAACTAAAGCAGTAGCAGAGGAAACATTTTTTTCATTGAACCCCACCCCCAGAGGACATCCCCTATCCTGTGGGTGTCTTTCTGACATCTGTTTTTAGCAAGGTGTGAAAAGAGCAGAAGCTCACATTTGTGTGTGTGTGTGTGTGTGTGTGTGTGTGTGTGTGTGTGTGTGTGTGTGTGTGTG